TACCACCGTAGCTCTCAAGGTAAGATAATCAAAAGGTTCTGTAGTTATTAACCACTAGAGGTGTAATCCCCCCCTTCACTCACCATTTAAATAATTCTAAATAACTATTGATTATCAATATTTATCTAAAATTTAAAAAAAAAAATCTAGATTTTTCCATAGGTGATAATGTCTGCACCTGTTATTATGGGTTCTAACAAATTTAACTGAGAATATCAAATTAGAAGTAAATGCTGAGTTATAATATATGTTTACTCTGCCTAACAGCATGCCAATCTACTTGTGTCCCAAGACAAGACTGAAAAACAGATAAATTCCCAATAAAAAGTGATGAAACAGTAGCAGTGTTGCTAAGAATACATTCTTCTAACCTGCACACATGAGGTGTCCCAAAAGTTTTAGTGCAGTTTGAAGTTTTAACAACTTCAGAAGTATAAATGTTACAAACTTAGCAAAAAACATCACTTCAGAGTTTAACTCTTCACATTTCTCTTATACTTATTTACTTTGTGTATTTTTAATAGTAAATTTTACTTTTAGCATGCCAGGTTACCATCTCATTATGTATCCTATGTGCCAGTTTGTGGATTATACTTCCTCAGACCTGTGGATCAATAGAGGAGATTCTCTTACCTGGCCACCTTGGTCACCTAATCTATCTTCATCGGACTCTTTCCTTTGTCATCACACCAAAACCATTGTGTATGTATGCATCAGAACCTCATTCTCTGGATTATCCTAAGGCTACTCTTACAAGTGCAATCCTTTCTGTCCCTGAGCCGCAGCTGATGAAAGTTTTTACTTATTTTGAAAATTGGCTAAAGTGATGTATAGCACAAGACAGTAGTAGTTAGGTTGAATCTTAATTAAAATCCATATATTAATATCATATAATTAACATTTCAAATTATGTTTTTGTACACTTGGAGCATTTATATTTTGGGTGTTATTTATAGCTTAAAACGTCACTAAGGCTTTGGAGATGCCCCATGTTACAAGGCTCTTAGTGGCAGCACTTCTCCTCCTATCTATATTTCTAGGAAGGGGACATCTCCTTTGAAAATCAGGTCATTTTTGATTTGGAGGCTTGCAGGTAAGACTCATTTTTATCCTTTTATCCAAGAAAGCTGGTTCGAACATCATAGTCTTAGGATCAAAATTTCAGTCCTTGTTTTTTGTTTGTTTGTTGTCTATTGTTGTTGTTGTTTTAAACCCAAATATCTGGTTAGCTAGGAGAGCCTTGTCACCGGAAGGGAAACATGGTTCTATTTTTAAACTTTGTTTCACTCATCACCAAACTGGTTCATGCACGTAAATCATACCAATGACACATGCCGAATTGTGCTCTAGAGTGTGTCATACATTCTCTCTTTCATGCACACATAGTTACTTCCCTTGTCAGCTTTGGCGGGGGGGGGGGGGGGGGGGTTCAGAGAAGCAGGCAGAAAGTTGAGCTGAGTCGATTCACTTTAGCACGGCTGTTTGAGTTTAAAAAATCGAGTGTCCCAGTAGGAGCCAGGGCCTTTAGTTCTCAGCCTAGCTTTTAAGACATGTGGGAGGGCTTCAAAGGCCCCTGTGCCCTTCTTTTCCGAGGAAAGACTGCAGTTGGTCCCCAAATGTTTACTAGCATAAAGATGCCCTAACCTACAGGAAGTGGGAAATGAGGAGGGGGGAGGGGGAGGGGGAGGGTCAAAGCAGAGGGTGGGAGGGGGTTTACTCTTGATGTGGTTAGTCTGTCATTGACCTTGTTTTGGTAAAGGAGGGTTGAATTCGAAAATGAGACCACATTTCATCTTGGGCACATTTCATCCTTCTTTTGACTTGCTTTGGAAAGTTTGTTGTTGTTGCTTTTTTCCTTGTTGGAGCAGCTCTGCAGATTTGGTTCTCAATTCCACTTAACTCACCACTCCCTTCTTCCCATACCCTCACTCACTGATCATAGGCTCCTCTGAGCAAGCATATGCTCGCCTATCCCCACCAGAAGACTGAAAATCCTGTTGCAGTAGCTGGAGCTGAGTAACATCAGCTGTGGTGATAGCATCAAAGAAAATGGATGGGGGTTTCTGAGATCAGAGCTAGTTAGGCCATTCATGACTTGCTGCCAACCTGAGAGCAACAAAGAGAGCTCTGCCTGAGAAATGCTGATTAATAAAATAATTGAGGTTTTTAGTGCACTATTTTTTGTGTGAATCAGGAGGGGAGGGGGGAAATGCCATGACTAAAAATGCACCAAATTATTACTTCGAAATGAACATTTTGAGACATAGAAGTCCAGACAAAGACAACTTTTGATAGGCCAGCCTGCAGCTTCTCCTCAATTTTAGTCAACAATATGGCACACTATTTTTAATGCCTTTCTAAACAAATAGGGAGTCAAGAGGTCACTACCCATTGCCTTTTATTTTCTTCACTAAAAAAAAAAAACAAATCCGGTGCTGTTTTTAAATGGACTATTTGGAGGTGTTGGAGGAATTTGATTCTAACTTTGTCAGTCATCCTGAAAGATCACTAAAAATTTGGAGTCAGAAGACTTAGGTTCATAATCCCACCTCTGCCACATACTAGTCATGTGACCTTGGGCAAGTCACTTCCACCCCATCCCAGCCTCTGCAAAATGGATTCTTTTCTAAGGCAGCCTCCAACAATAAATCAATGCCCCTTTGATCCTACAAGAGGCAAAGAGGGATAGCTGAATTGGATTGGTATTATCTGTACAGTGATGAAACAAACCCTAGAGGGAGTCCTCATATGCCTATACTCCTGTGCTCTATCATTCATTTCTGCCCCTTAAGGGCTACAGTTCTACTTGTGGCCCTATCCAGCTTAGCTGAAACAGCTGGAATTAATTTCAGGGTTGCCTGACTAAGCCCTACCAAGGTATTTGAAGTGTGCGTCCTCCCTAGACTCAAGCTCTTTTCACCGCCTCTGAAGGTGAGTGCAGGCTGATATTAATTAACAGTGAGTTGAATCACTGGCATCCTCCAGTCATTGAAGTAAATATTTGCCTTAAAACAGCCAAGCCCTCCCACCATCCTCCAAATGTTTAAAAAAAAAAAAAAAACTCCACCATTTTCCTGTTCTCTGACTGTATCAGATGGACTTAAATAGCTCTTGAATGCCATGTGTGACCTAAGAACAGATTTGATGCTAAAAGGGAAGTGAGAAGCTCTTCCAACATCTGCATCTCAAAGTGAGACTGTGTTTTAATAGAAGGCCTGCCTCCAGTATGACTACATTGTTTTTCTGTCCAATGTGGCTCTGACTCAGCATCAGTTAATTAACCCTCCCAAGGAGGCTGGATTTCTCTGGTTTAATTATCATCTTCAGAGCTTTCTGAGATCCCTTTTAGGAAGTGCTCATTCAGTTTTACACCCCTACCACATCTCCCAAAGGAGAGCCCTGATTCTCCTAAGGAGCCAGCGTCCCCTGTGGCATTTTATGCTATAGCAGATAAACCAGAGCACTGAGGGCAGCTTTCAGCTCTACTAATATCCCCTGGTGGGTGTTGATTAGAGCCTGTCCAAGACCTTTAGACACAGATGCCATTCTCAAATGTAGTAAGCCTGCCTCACTTTTTAGCTAACAGAACCATAGAAAAGTTTTGTCTTTCAAAAAAAAAATAAAAGGAAATATATATAGGTACAATTGTGATTGTGGGTTGGGTTTTTTTTTTTCTTTAATTTGTTTTGATCTTCCTGTAAACAAATACTCAAATGTCCACTTCATTGTATGACTAAGTTGGTATCAGTAGGTCAGGACTGGGTGTGTGTGTGTACGTGTGGGTGGGTGTGTACGCACATGTGTGTTTAAAATGTTAGAAAAGACACTGCATCCTGAGGCAGAGGGAAGGGATGATAAATAAATCTGAGTATCTGAAGCCAGCAGGAAAAATTGGAGACTTGCCCTTCATGAATCTAAAGAGTGTTTCCAACAGAGTGTCTGTCTATTAATGGATCTTTTGCATCATTGTTTCTCTGAATTGAAGAATTCCTTGCTGGGGGAATAGGACCATTGAAGGAAGTAAAGCATCTGGTTTGTTTTGTAATGAGGAGCAGGAATGCTAGGTCCTTGCTCTTAATAATAAACAAACAGGACATTGTATGCCATCATCACAGGATGTCCTTCCTTCAGCCAGACTAACTTGAACAGGAGGAAAAGACTGACAAGAACTCAGAACCCACTAATCACTATCCCAATACTTCTGCCATTTGTAATACACTCTAAGAAGGATCAATCCATTATGCTCTTTAATGGTGAAATTATGAATGTTTTGTATTTAATTTGGTTATTGAGTTTGAGTCTGGCAGTTTGGACCTGAAAAGAGAAAAGGAGGGAAAGCAAAGAGATTTTTATGTGAATGTACTGATTTCTTCCCATTTCATTATTCCTAAAAGATTTTTAAAGGGGGAAAGTTATGCCGAATGTAAAATCACTTAATTACCTACTTCTTTGGAAGCTTATACAGATAAATACAAGTCTTAAGATGCTTCACAGGAAATGCATGCTTCACAGGAAATTACTCCTGAAATGTATGGCATTATATACTAAAATATTAGACACCCATTTCCCTCCTCCCAGGGACTCCCGCCCACCCCTACGACCTCCAACTCTGTGTGCCCAATGTAAAGTTCTCATTCCTTAACCAGGACTTTTCGTATCAGAACAATAGAAGTTTTAACAGATTTTTTTTTTAATGATTCAAGTGTTTGTAGTACTTTAAGCCTCAGCTAGAAGAAGGGAATAGTTAATGAATTTGTAGCAGAAAGCAGATAATGTCAGCTCTTTCACTTTGAGGTTAAGTGTGTTTCAAGGGGAAGTAAGAAAGTTCCAAGTGAATGGTGAACTTCACGTGTAATAAGAGGAAAACCTATAAAGCCTGAACTATTTGGAAGGGGGGGGGAGGAAATCCCTCTTCTTGATTGGCCTCGACTAAATTTGCAGGTATAGCTCCACCCCCCTGCTTTAGCTTATTGAGTAAATGCTCAGTCTGTTTGGTTAAGCAGACTGCAAGCAGCCCTCCAGTGTTTCGGCGAGGCAAAAGCAGTAAGTGCCGCAGCACCTGTCTGACAGACAGAGTGAGAGAGAAAAAGAAGAGAGAGGCAGGCGAGGGGGGTGCCGAGAGACCGTAGAAAAAAGAGTTAACTCTGGAGGTGTGAGTCAGTCTTGCTCTAAGCCGGCAATTGAAAGGACGAAGAAATGTTTATTGTGTAGAAATGAGTGTGACTTACCTTCGATGTTGGATTTTTGTTTGGAAAAACTTGTGGATACGACCTTGGTAAGAATTTTTTTTTTTCTGTTTCTTTCCTCTTGCGTTGTTTAAACTTTTTTTTCTCCCTGCTTCACCAACGTAGTAGCAGTTGCAAGCAAGTAATACTTTTGCCTTGGTGCACTCACGACTTCAAACATGTTTATTATAAGACCTTTTCTCTCCTCCTTATGAATCATTAACCCTTTCAATTCTGGGTGCAATTGTCAATTCATTGAAGTTTCAGTAGCAGTTCTCTTCTCTCCCCCACCCCCCATAAGATCAAAGAAGAGCAAATATTCGGTGGTGGCTTAATTTTAAAACCTTTACTATTAGTTAATATTTATTTAGCATCATGACTGTACATGCTGGAGCCACCCATAGACAAGCAGGTCTGTTTAAATTTTGAACAATGTAAGGCATATGTCCCAGGTTCTTTTATTGGATGCATTATTATTCCCCCCCATCAGTTATGGCTAAATGAAAGAAGATAAAGTCTGCTTTTAGCATCTTCCATGGGACATTATCTTATTTTGAAAATCAAGTGAGTATTCTCCTTTCTTGCATAGAAATCCTTGATTAGGATTACTGGGTATGATTTTTAATTAAGTCAAGTGTTTGAGACACGTTTTTCCCCTCTTTGTCACCTAGTTTGTATCCTAGTGTAGGAGAGGGTAACTTTTGTGGGGGGAAATAGAGAAGCTACTGACCTCTTATTTGGAAGGAAAGTGCTATTACTGACCTAGAGGGTAAAACAGACTTGGGGAAAGTAGCCCATCACTAGTTGAGGAAGGGCTTACTTAGTCTCTCACTTTTCTATATTTACTATAACTTTCATTACTGTAAATTGAAACACTTGTGACTTCTGAGAATGGAATGAGTGGTCAATATTTTCAACAGAAAGTACTATTTGCAGCCGAGGTGGCTGAAATGAATTCTCCAGGGACAGCTTACTATTGGACAGTTTTGCATTTTTGTTGTGCATTTTCATGGTGGCATGAGATGCCAACAAATCACAGAAACCCCATTTTCCCTTGTCCTGCTTTGGTCCAAATGAGTACACTCCAATGATTTGTGACTAGCTCTTGCTACTAGGATGCTGGCCAAGATGCAGCCTTTTGCTGTCTTCCTTGCTAGAGGATGAAAGGGAACAAGGCAGAAGGGGGAGGATGATGGGGGGGGCAGGTTGTTTTGAAAGTTGTTTGTGCTTTGGAAGCTGGTGGGAAAGTTCAGTCTTCCCCATTTGGAAAAGGCAGGCTGGGTTCCGCTCCTGCAACACGCGCTTTCCATTTTTAGCTTCATTCAGACGCAGACAGCAGCGCCTTCCTCTTCCTCTCCTTGTTTATGACACTTTTTTTTTTTCTCTGAGGCAGCTTTTCCACAGATACTGAGTGGTCTGGTGGCCATGACCCCAGGTTTTCTTGGACACAAGATTGGGAACCCAGAAAGTGGGTTCTGTGCTTTTGAGAGGTAAAGCCAGAAATGGATCTCTGAGCTGATTTGTTTTGATTTTTCCCCAGCGAGGCTGCCTCACTTTTTTTTTTTTTTTTAAACCTAAGCCTAGCATTTGAAAACCCTTCCTCCATTCAGTTCGGGCAATCTCGTTTATACTCCTCTTTTGGCTATTGCTCAACTGTACCAGCTCTTCTACATAGGCTTTTCAAGTGCCACAGACTACTGTATTAGTCACAGTGTCTCAGAGGAAACCACAGAAACTGCAGGACAATGGGGATTAAAGGCTTTTTCCTTCTTTTCCAGGCTGCCACCCAGTGTAGCTCCGATACCGTAAATTTTCCGACTTTGGTAGAGGGGGCAGAGGGAACCATGAAAATGGACATGGAAGATGCTGACATGACTCTGTGGACAGAGGCAGATTTTGAAGAGAAGTGCACATACATTGTGAATGACCACCCCTGGGACTCTGGTGCTGATGGAGGAACTGCCATTCAGGCGGAGGCATCTTTGCCAAGGAATCTGGTTTTCAAATATGCACCGAACTGCAAAGAGGTAAGCCTCTTGTTTTTTTGCTGAAGAAGATTGGCACCTGACAGCCAAATCTCCCATACACTTCTATTGAGGCCCCATAAGTCTGGGAGACTCCTTTGTTAAGTACCTGTAAATAATATAGCCATTTCATTGCATTCTTTTTTTCCCTTGAACTAATTTCTTTCTGTTTCCCCCCCTCCTCCTTCCCCCGTCATGCCAATTAGCAAGCAGTTAAAATCTTCTGGCAAGCTATACTGTGCCTAGAATAGGTATATGCACAGCATGGGGGGTGGGGGGTGAGGTAGACCCCTGAGCCAGGTTTTAAACTGCTGTCAGCAGCCAATGTATCCATTGCCTCTAGCCACTGGATTAAATTGCCTTGGTTGTATAATAGCTCTAAGGGAGGGAAAGAAAAGTCAAGTTTCCTCGGAAAACACTCTAAGTCTTTTCTTTTGTCTCCCTTCAGTTATTAAAGTGCTTTATTCTTTTTAATGAGCTGGCTTTATTAGCTGTGTTTCTAAAATTATTCCCGAAACATTGACGTGTTTATGAACAGGAGGGATGGTATATAAACTGGGAAAAGTGTCCTTTGTCAGGATGACTTAAGAGTTAACCACTGTTTATCTGCCGAAGTTCCTTTGCTCCCTGCTAGACTTGCAAACTCCTGCCCCCCCCCAGCCTCTGAAGTGGGGCTACCCTTTGTTGTTAATTCCAAAAGACTTCCCCAGGACTCTGAAAGGGCAGTTTGATTTGTGTTCACCCAATTTGTGTAACTCTCATAGCCAGGTGTGATGTTCAGCTTAGGTGATCTGAAGAACAACCTCTTTATTTCTGGGGCTTAGGGCTGCCCCTTTTTTACCTGTGCTGCTACTGTGCCCAGATAAATTGACCTTTCTGCTCACCTCCTTTCCCTTATCCCACCCCTACCCCCACCATGTATAAATTATACTACTGTGTCTCGAGAGCAGTGAGAAAGGATTTGTTTGCTTTATGAATGTAGAATTTATTCCTGGGAATATTTATCATAGCCCTGTTAAATCACTTTCTCTTACCCCTAAGAGTAGCATTTAAAGGACCTGGCAACCCTTTTGGGAAAACTTTGTCTCGTGCCTGATTGTGTGTTCCAGAGCTGAATATTTTTTGAGTGGGAGACAAAGCTGTCTAAAAGAGAACTTACTATATTCCTAAGTTCATAGGGTCAGAGTTGGAAACAGGACCTTAGAGTCTGAGTCTAACCCCCTCATTTTACATATGAGGAAACAGAAGTTAAATGACTCGCCCAGAGTTCCACAGCTAGTAAATATCTAAGATAGGATTTGAACTCATGTCTTTAGGACTCTAAGTCCAGCACTAGTTACTTACTGCCTTGTGACTTATTAAAACTAGAGACAGAGGTGTTGGAGAGTTGAAGGGGGGAATTCTACGAACATATTTTGTTAAATACCTCAAGAGACAATGCTGCCTTTTGTACAGTAAATACTATCTCATACTAAATTGCTAGAGATGCCCTGAATCCACCATAGCCTATACATCCCCTTAAAGAAACATTTTTCTAAGTAGAACGTCTTGAGTTACTTGTCATAATTCTATGACAAAAGCTAACTTGACATGTTTCATGAATTGTATAATGTTGGTTTTTGTTGTCGTGGTTTGTGTAAGAAGTGCATCTCCCCTGGCCCCCCCTCCTAATATGAAACTTGACTGAAGTGGATCTCTTTACTAGGGAAGGAGATTGGGGGTGAAAGGTATAGGGCCTCTTCCCTTCTTTTGTTCTCTGGAGTTCTCCATTTTATTCAAAAGGCTGCTAAAGAAACTTTGATCTTGTTCCATACTCTAGTATTCAAGAGAGCTACTTCTCCCTCTCCTTTTAAGTATGCAGGATATTGGTGTGTGCTCTATATTCCACTGTCAGAATTTATACTATTCGGCCTCATTTTAGAACTAGAAGGTACTTTCGAGACCATCCAGTTCAACACCTTCATTTTACAAATGATGAAGCTGAGGTTTAGAGTTAAGTAGTTTGCCCAAGGCTACACACAGCTAATTATTGGCTGAGCCAGGACTAAAACTCGGGTCTCCTAACACTGGCCAGTATTCTTTGCATTATAACATGATTGTCCCTTTGGCCCTCAGCATGATTTTATTTACTTGACTGTAAAGTGTAACTTACCTAGCTCTCCCATACAGCCCAGAACCTATTACTTCAATTGATTTAGGAGAGATTTTAATGCCCTCCAAAGGTGGTTACAGGAGAAGTGAACCTACCTAGGCATCTGTTGTTTACCTTGTCCTCTTCTAGATCACACTTAACAGAAACAAGCAATCTTGGGGGTCCTGGTTGAATCAATCAGGATACAAATTTCATATGCTCTCTTACTTAGCAGCTGACTCTGGAATTTGTACTAGAATGATAGTCTTTGTTAAAAGAAAAATAATTTTCAAAAGATGGAGGGGAATTCATCAAGTTTAAGAACTAACGTTTATGATTAACAATGTGCAGGCTGGCATGAATCAGTTTGTCCTTAGTCATATGTCCCACGGGAATTTTTTGCAAGTAGTTTTAATGTAATTTATAAAGTCCTTTAAATGTTTTTGTTTAAATGGTAGTAGATGTCAAATTACATGTTATTTCTTATTCTGCTGACATACTAGAATTTTTTTCTATTTCCATGACTTTTTTTTTTTCATTATGAATTCACATATATGTCAGCTCCTTTTCTATTTTTTTAAAAATGTTTCTGCTCTTGTCCTTGGTGGTTCTAGATCTTTTTTACCCTAATTACACATTTTAAAGAGTATTCTTGTTTCTTATTTCTACAGCTAAGTTTTTTAACTTCATGTTAAAAAATATATTTATCTCTGTATACTAAATTCTTTACTTGTGTTCTTCCTTTTGTGGAAACTTGGTTGTCGTTCCCTTTAAACAATATTTTATGAGCATTTTTTAAAATGTGAAAATATTAGTTTTGATATTTTATGTCTTTGAAAAACCTAGATTTTGAGTGCTTCTCTTTCAATTAGGGAAGCTCCTGTTCTGGGAAGTCCTAAAGCAATACTGTGATAAAAATCAGTCTGCTATAGGCCTATTTTAGCTGCAGTCCATTATTAACTTAAGCCATCTGAAAAAAGTATCTCACCACAACATGCAATCCTATGTTCTTGGGGATGGTCTTATATTTTGGAGATGATACGGGGAGGCTGCTACTGTGTTTCCTTTAATACAAAGATAATTAAGGAGGAAACCATCTGAAAACATTTCCTTTCACTCCACCCCTTAAAAAAAAAATCAGATGAATTACAGACTTTAGGTCTTGATCCATCTGTAGAGTCCCAGTCATCACAGTGCAAGCAGTCTTAGGTCCAAAACAGAATTTTAATAGACTGAATCAGTTTTATGGGGAGGGAGGGGGTGAGAGGGAACTAGTAATTTGTGATCTTAATGATTTAGGGTAAGTTTGACCACATCATGAATATACCTGCATAGTACTACTCTGCTTAAATACCATTGTTGTGGGGTTTTGTGTGTTGTTGGATAATGTATATAAAGCACTTTAGAAACGATAAAGTTCTAAATAAATGTATGCTTTTTTTAAAAAAATCTACATAGTCCCTTAAGGGAAAGATTTGCTTTTTGAGAACCCCTTTTTCTCTCCCTGCTGCTATGGAGATGTATTAAATGCCCCCTCTAGCTCAACCTCTCCCAAGTTTTTTAATTGCCTTGATTTTTGTAAAAGAAGAGGCTAAGGAGTCCTGTTTTTTGTCCAGAAGCCACGGGTGTCAGGCTGTGCTTTGTGACCCAGTCCATTGACAGAGACGGATCTTCCAAAATGGTAGAGAGGTCGGTGCTGCTCATAAAGCATCCTGTGGACGGGCTTCTGTAGGGATAGATGAAGCATGCAAGTGTTGAAGCTTTTTGTCTTCTTGCTGATATGTTTATAGAAGGCATGCAGCAGCCTTGCCCCAGCAGTAATTCATTAGGACCCTGGTCAGTTCCAATCATGTTTCCTTCCTGGGTTAGGTGAGCACTAGCCTAAGTGGCCTTTTTAGCACATGGGAATTCATCAGAGAGACAAAGTCTTTGTGCAGCAACTGCCAGTTCTTGGACAGTGAAGGGAGTGTTGAAGGATGCCCATTTTCAGACCAGTTGTAAATCTTGAATCATTATTGTTGCAGAGGAGAATTGTCTGATGAGGTTCTCTGTTTAGAAATCCAATGTTTATTTCATAAGGGGCAAAATTAATAATGTCAAGTTTTATAAACATTGAAGTGCTGTTATCTTACAGGTGATACCTTTGTGATTATAACTAGACAGAAGCTGTCAGGGATTGTTTCCTTTTTGTCTGTGTCCCTCATTCTTAGATTGGTACAAAGTAGGTTCCTAATAAATATCTGTTGATTGCTTGATCTGCTGGTATCGTGAAAATATCCTGTTTTAAAGCTGTAGCTTTCATGCTGGATGAAGGAATCCATCTGACAATACATCTTAATATTACTTCTAAATGTGATAGTTATTTCCTGCCTGTTTAAGAAAAACTTTTAACTTTCTAGCTAATAATAAAATTAATTGGCTTTATGTTATTATGTAAGCACATCTATGTGGGTAGATAAACAAGCCCCATCACTGTATCTTAAACAGGCTTTTGTGAAGATAGAAGTGATATACAATGTGTTCTCGACATGCCGCTTAATCTATACTGTGTCATAATTTAAATTGTGCCTTCTGGTCTCTTCAACTCCACTCTATGGAGCAAAGTTATACCTTCACCACAGGAACATATGAACTTCAAAAAGATATGATGGATCTAACATAAGGCACTTAAAATAAAAATTATTTTCCCTTGTAGTTTTGAGATCTTTAGGTATAAGCTTCATAGGCCTTAGAGCCGAATTACTTTTTACATGTCTGTTGCCTCTCAGCTATATTGTCAACTCCTAAAGGGTAGGAATTATGTTTTATACCTCTTTATGTCACCTACTTAGTACATACGTGTTACTAAGTAAAATTTTTGATTGCCATCTTCCCAATTAAAGAAAAGCAATAATGCTTATGGAAACGAGGTTCTAGCCTGTCACCTTGTATTTGGCCACTGGAAAACTGTATCTAATATTTTCATGATATGGCATGAATTTAACTGATAGAAGATGAGTTTTAATTCTGAAAAACAAGCACCTCATTCTGGTAGATCAAATGGCCACTAGGTGGAAAAGCACTGACCTCAATGTAATGTTGCTTGTTAGTAATCATGCACTGTCTCTCAAGACTGTTTAAAATTATAGTCTCTAGCAGACACAGAAGTTGGTGAACCAGTTGAGTGCCTCTCTTAAAATTACTACTTTAACATGGACATGTTGAAAAATCAGCTGTTAATTATTGGCTGACCAGCAAATGGCATTATTTGCTGTTCCTGTTTGGGCTTTTTAATGCTGTGTTATAATCAGTCAAATATAAGTGTCAGAAGATTTGCTACATCCTAAGAGCCAACATGAATGTTTCCAGGATGCTCTAGACAGTGAGAATTTCACTAGGCATACACAGACAGAATCATAGAATTCCAGGTCCTGAGGTACTTGAGAGATCACTAGTCCAACTTGCTTACTTAACAGGGGAGGAAACTGAGGCCTAGAGGGCCCAAGACTTTACTAATATCTTCCCATCAGTTAGGCTGTAGAGATTACCAATAATAATGAACCTTTATTGAAACGTCAGATAGATGTAAATGAGGGCAGAGGAGGATGAAATGAACATCTGCCTTTTTCAGGCTCTGCCAGAAATGCAGAGAAGCGCCCAAAATAAAACTGGCCCAACAACCTCGTTTCAGCTTGTGTCGGGTATAGGAAATTTTCTGCCCTTGCCTTCCTTCCTTCTCTCCCCCTCACCCCCCATTCGGTGCCAGATGCCTTTAGATGCTTCACTGACTTTTATATCGACTGTTGTGCTCCTAATCACTTGCTGATATGAAATGGACATGAGTAGGCGCCAAAATGTAGGATCTGCCAGAAGTTTGTTGGTCTTGTTTGTGGCGTAGCTGTTTGATTCCGTAGAAGTTTCAGGTTCCTTTTCATTTGAAGTGGGGCTTAATGTATTGCTAGGAATTGCATGGAATAATTGTAACCATACCCAGAAATTTACCATTCTTCATGAACTACCTGTAAATACTTTAGATGAAGCATATAGTTTTGTTCTATTGTTCAGTGTCATTTGACTAGCATAAGACATGAAGGAAGTATCTTGTTCACAGGCCCAAACAGATCACTAAGAAGCATTGTAAAAAAGAAAACTAAAAACATTGTTACATTTTTTTCTTCTCTGTCAATCAATTCTAGTTAGAATTTAGTCCATTCTCCTGGCTACCCTAACAGAGAAGAAAATCAAAGTTGGGGGGCGGGGGGGGATGAAAAATACCCGTAACTCAGCAGAATGTTGTAAGTGACTACTCACAGATGAGTTCTTTTGAATAGTGATGAATTGCTTCCTGATTTGTGGTTGGTGATTCTACCCTACTCAAAAGAAATTTACCATCAAGGAGGAACTGGCGTAATGTGTTTCTTTACCAAAGCCTTTTAGAAATATGGGCTATAGTAGATTTTCAGTCATTTCCTTATCTCAGGATCTTTGGTGGGGGAGGGGCAGGGGGCATATAAAATCTTGTCCCCATGCCGGATCCATAAGATAACTGCTAATGAGATCTCCTGCCACTGTTCTATGGAGAGAAGAGACTGGCTGTCCTATTGCACATTTAGGGAAGAACAATTATTTGAAAAATACTCCTCCATCAGGGAACAGGAAACTATGATGAACTTTATCAGGGATCAGTAGAGTACAACATAGTGAATTTATGGTTTTTAACCCTTTGAAGAACATGATTTTGTTTTCCAAGACTAAAATTTCATTCCTCAAAAATGATATGATATTTAATGGTTTAATAGGTGAGGATTCTGAAGGGAAACATCAGCAGGCTGGAATGGTCTGATCTATTTCTCTGTAATATTGGCTACTTATAACAGAAGATCTTAACCTGGGGTGTCTGAAAATGTTCATATTTAGTTGTTTATAACTGAATTTCAATACAATCAGTTTCCTTTGCCATCCTATATATTTTGTTTTGTTTATTTAAAAACAGTATTCTGAGGTGTCCATGGGCCTCACCAGAGAGTCAGAATCCATGACAAAAAAGGTTAAGAACATCTATTCTAAAATTATTTGGTTCTTATTCTAAAAAACAAGCTGTTATCTTTTCTGTGTGACTCTTAACTCCTCCCACCCCCAAACTGAACAAAGGCTTCTAATTCAACAAGTGAAAATAATTTGAAAATGGAGTTTCATGGCTTTTAAGTTTTTGGAAATACAATTTTATTCAAATAATTATAGTTTGGTATTATTCTCTACTTACTCATTTCTGCCCCATTAGGAGGTTTTCTTTTTTACCTTGTTGTGCTATCCTTTTATGAAAAACCAATTTGGTTGAAATGGGATTGTCATTTTGAAATGTAGGTTATAGGTTGTCTTGTGTTCTTTCTCTTTTAGGTCATTGGAGTAATAAGCAAAGAATACATACCAAAAGGAACACGTTTTGGACCTTTGATAGGTGAAATCTATACCAATGATACAGTTCCCAAGAATGCCAACAGACAATATTTTTGGCGGGTAAGGAAAAATTAAAATTCTATGTTGATTTAATAATTGAAAAAAAGCAAAACTGAAGACTCTAGTTCCCTTCCTGTGTGTGTGTGTGTGTGTGTGTGTGTGTGTCTGTCTGTCTGTGTCTGTGTCTGTCTGTCTGTCTTTCTGCCTGGGTGCTTATGTGCATTTGCTCACCTACAAATGAAACTTTATTCTCCCATGGGTGCACAGAATAAGAATTCTGAGTGGATGTTAAAGTAGCTGAGTAAGTTTCTTGGTCCTCTGGGGGAAAAAAAGCTTGTAGGTGGAGGAAAAGGAGATAACATGGACTATACTTGACTTGAATTTTTGCAACTCATAAGAGCTTCCTGATAGAATGAAACGATTTTGCTACTTGGTTCCACAGTAAATTCATTTGCATTTCTCTTCAAGGAGGGAGTAATGAGTCATTAAGCCTTTCAATTTCAGATATTCTTGAATTCTTACCAAAACTTTAATTAATTGGATAAACTCAAATCAATGAATTATATAATCTTGAAAACAAAACTTTTTCATTCGGAAGGGTGGAAAGGCTAGTATGGAGAGGGGGACAAGGGAAGGAGTGGTTCTTTAAAATAAATATGCCGTAATTTTGATTCAATTGTAATCTGGATTTCAATTCATCAAGTTTATTGGAATGCATACATTCTTATGACCATATGCATCATTTAGAATATTTCCATAAAGTCCCTGAAGACTTTGAAACCTGACCTAGAATATTTAGATAAAAAGATATTTTAAGGCAGTCTGGGTATACTAAGAACCCTGAATCACAGGAAAAAAAATTATTGGGTTCCTTTCCTCAATCTACCACTGTTTATTTTGTGATTTCAGTTTCTCACACTTAGGAAGACCCATAAACCCATCACAACTTTTTCTTGAAGGAATGCTGTGATGATTAGGAGGGAAATCTTTTCTTAGGCATTTTTAATTCTTCTAAGGAAAAAGTTACTATGACTAAAAAGTAATGTTTTTAATTACTGATCTATAGGATATTTATCAGGCTCCTGGTTTGTTGTTTTTTTTTTTTTAATTCATTTTCCTCTCTCATCCTATCTTTAATGTAAAACCACAATGTAGGGTTAAGGAAGCTGTGAATTCAAGAATCTTTTCTCAGGTTGTTCTTGAGAAATAGGTTAGGTCTTACTCACCTAAGAATTTTTCTCTTTTTCCTTTTTTTTTTTTTTTTACATCTTATTCTCTCTCACTAACTTTAAGTTGTCTCCAATTTCTATTTTCACTTTGAACAAAAGATGGTATTTAAATTGTCTTCCCAAAATATAAGCAATGTGTTGATATATTTTAAATCCAAAATTATTTAAGTACTCACAGTTTATGTATACATGTACGTGTGTGTGTGTGTGTGTGTGTGTGTGTGTGTGTGTGTGTGTGTTCACACAGGCTACAAGCTTTTCCTAGAAAAAAAAGTGGGTGGGTTCATTTGAGTTTATTGCCAGTAAGTCCCTCTTCAGTTAAAAGCAAGCCATGGAGGTGTATAATTTCCTGGAGAGTGACTAAGTCTTCAATTAAGACCATTCAATGTATAAGCCTTTTTTTTTTTTTTTTTTTTTGGCAAAGCTATCTTGAAAAAGGCAACAACGGCACCTTAGTTCTTGCATCTCTCTGAAAATTCCCTAAGTCAGTAAGCCTCCATTGTCCCCCAAAGATGTTCTTTCCAACTAAGGATTTGGATCAGGCTTGCACATGAAAAGGAAATTGTCGGAGATAACTTCCCACATATTATAAAAACTGTCCTGCTTTTGCTGGCAGGGATAGGAACATCTGCTGTATGAAGAAAAAAAGTTCCATGCAAATTACATAGTCAAAGAGGAGAAGGGATGTTAGAGTTGAGTAAACCACAGAGTGACATTATTTCTTGTAACTGTACTGTGAGTCAGCACATTTTTAATCTTCATGATAATATATGGAAACACAAGATAGGGATAGGCATTCGTTTTAGCATTTGCTTTTATTTTATATTTTTGCGGGTGTGAGCCTGTGACTTCATGGCATCGTCATCTACCTTTTTAAATGAGGGTACAGTAAATTGGGGAAAGCTGACTGGAAGGTGCATCGCCCTTAGCTTTAGAAAGCAGCTTCCGCCCGAAGCAAAGAGTGCAGAGCAATGGAACCCCATGTTCCTGGAAGTTTGCACATCAGAGTAAACAAACTTGAAGACTCCTCTTGATAGCAGAATTCACCCAGCCCTGTTCCATTTTCTCATAACAAAACACACCGCAAAATCTCTCACAAGCTTCTTTGATGAAGCCACATGTATTTCCCCCTTCACAATTTACAGGAAGTTACTCTTAAAAGAAAGTGATTCTGGTGTTTACTGCCTGTGTTAAAGGGACAGAGTTCCCTTTTTATTTTTGATAGCGTTGGAGAGACATAAGAAAGGCTTTATAGACAGGGTGTGTGAGTAAGAATCAAGCAATAGTCAGCTTGCCCCATGGATACTCTTGGACTATGCACAGGATGAGGCTTCCTGGAGACCACACACCACAGATCATCACGTATTGGTTGCCAAAGAAAATCTGGTGAGATGAGGGAGAGGGAAGGGGCATCTCTAATAGGAATGCCCTATGGAAAAATGAGAGGTTTACGTAGAAGGTTTGAGTGGCTGACTTGAGCAAGTGAGCTGCTTTGAGTTTGCTTTCTTGTTCTTGTTCTTAACCCACTACTCTTTAGTATAATCACAATACATCTATTAATTACTCTGACTGGCGCTGGAAAAAGCTTTCAATTTTTTCATCCTACTTTTCCTTCAACAAATCGCATTTTTTTTTCTTCTCCAGCTGATGAGGAAAAGTGTGTGGTGATTTATAGGATTATCCCTTATAAAAGCAATAGGGCTTCCTTTCTTCCTGTCCCCCCTTTCCCCCCCCCCTTTTTTTTGTTTAAAAGAAAAGTACAGGTCCAAACATGTCCACTGAGAGGAAAAGTGACTTCTGTGTAGTAGACTGTCAAATTTTGGCTTCTGTCCAGGTCTTCACTTTGTTATGGCAGGTGAAGTTCACCTTTGCCCCACCCAGTGTTTCCACAAAAAGGCAAGGTTCCAAGTATTCATATGAGCAAGTGTTACTTTAGGACTTGTGGGGGGGTGGAGGATGTTTGCATAGTTTAAGCCTTTGGGCGGGGGTGGTTGGAAACTGCAAGTAAAGAAAGAGAGGCCCATAGAAAGAGCTGAGAACAGAACCAGCAGAACATTGTACACAGTAACAGCAATATTGTTCGATGAAAAACTGAATGACTTAGCTATTCTCAGCGATACAGTGATCCAAGACAATCCCGAAGGACTAATGATGAAGCTTACTATCCGCCTCCAGAGAAAGAACTGATATTCATTGAGTATTGACTGAAACATGCTATTTTTCACTTTTTTTTTCTTTTATTCGAGTCTTGTACAAAATGACTAATATGGAAATGTTTTACATAATTGCACATATATACCTTATATCTGACTGCTTACTGTGAGGGGGGAGATTGATAGAATTTGGGGCTCAAAATTTTTAATAAAAATTTTTGTTTTAAATTGAAAGAAAAGAAAAAAAAAGCTGAGGCTCGGGTTTGACACAGCCCGCTCTTACACCTGGGTGACTCAAAGTCAGCACACAATCAGAACTGGAGTTAGGAGTATTACTCATTTGCCATTCTAACGCTTTTAAGAGCGCTCTGAGACTCAGAGGCAGCCCAGCCCCTTCCTTCCATGAAACTGTGTTTCGGTCTTGGTTTTTTTTTCCTCAGCATTACAAATTAACCAAATGGAAAAGGTAAAGAGAGAGAGAAATGCCACCTCTCACTGGTAACTCCCTTATTCGGCTAAATCTAGAATTCTCTGATTTTATTGAACTTTGTAACGAGAGAGTTGGGGAAGGGGAAGCACAGGTCGGTCTCTTCACTTCGTCTCCATGCTTGTGTTGTGCCAAAGGAAGGGAGAATTAAATAAGCTGCTGTCGTTTCAGGAATTTTTTTCCAATGGTGCTGTTTTCTGTTTTCCTCCAGATCTATTCTAATGGGGAGCTTCATCACTTCATCGATGGCTTTAATGAGGAGAAAAGCAACTGGATGCGTTATGTGAACCCTGCTCACTCCGTTCAGGAGCAGAATTTGGCTGCCTGTCAGAATGGAATGAACATCTATTTCTACACTATTAAGCCAATCCCTGCCAACCAGGAACTTCTTGTGTGGTATTGTCGGGACTTTGCAGAAAGACTCCACTATCCTCCCTCTGGAGAGCTGATGAGGATGGACCTCAGTAAGTGGATTACAATTAAAAAAAAAAAAAGAATGCTAGTAATGTCTATTCTGTCTGTACGATCTGATAATATGGTGGTTAATTATATGGCTGTATCAACTGTTGTGCCAGGGTAGGTAGTTTGGATCAGAAAGAGGGGAATTGCTTCCTTCTTTTTCCTTCCTTTGCCTTCTCTCTTTTTACATTCCATTTGCCCCTATCCTAGGGGCACTTTTTAAAATTTTAAGCATTGCTTCTTGAGAACTGAATTTATAAAGCTGTAAAGACTTAGAATTGGCAGCACTTAGAAAAAAAGGATGAGAGTACGACAGGCCTGAAACCATTGAACGAATCAGGTAGTGTTGCCTCTTTGTGCTGCTTCGAAATGGATCTCATACTGTACCAAGTCAACTGCCAACTACAAAACCACCATCAGTCAAGACATAGCATAAGAATAAATACTCTATGCTATCCCAGGCTTTTTCTAGAAACAATAAGCAATTAGCTCTCCTGACAAACTATTCTAAGTGGATGTTTTGAAGATTTCACATCTAACTTCCTTCCTTATGGTAAAATCTAATTATCTGATCTCTTAATCTGTTTGACAGTAGCTGCATATCACTTTATCTAACAAATTCTCAGTTCCTCAGTCAGGTTTATAGTATAGGCTTTCACTTTTTTATTTAGGTAAAATTATCTGGCCTGGACCTGGTAACCCCCTTCTGCCCCTACCTGCTACAAAAGGTCTTACTTGTGTAAGTGTTTTGGGCAATTTTTGGGTAGTCTTCCAATAGGTGAGAAAATTCTTAATCTTTTGTTGTGTGATGAAACCCACAGAAATCTGCCATTTTTTTTTAACAGCAAAATATTTGTCATTTTGCTTCCTAAACCAGACAGAGCCAGTTAATTTCAAGGATAGATCATGTCCCTGACTCATTTGGATTTGACTTTTCATTTTCTTTTTTAATGAGAAATGTCAACAAAACTTAACCATGGTATGGTTTTCAAGTCAGAGTATTGGGTTTGTTTAGATGAAAATCCTGGCTTTGCCCCTCCTAGGTGTGTGATCTTGGGTCTGTGAAACTTAACTTTGCTGGGCCTCAGTGTCCTTATCGTTTAATATAGGTGGCTAATCTCAGTAACTTCTAAGACACTTTCCATCTCTCAGTATATGATCCTGTGAAATCATATTCTTGCTTTTGGGACACAAATGCACAAACTAGCTAATTCTAGGAGCTGATCTTCATTAGAGATAAATTACTAACTATACTACTTAAATGAAGTTTCTGTCATGAGTATGTCAATGTAATTCTTGAGAATGTATAAAATTAGGCTGATTTTTGGAATAAAAAAGTTTAAAGCATCTCCATTTTACTTTCAAGTATCATCCCACTCATTTAGATGGGTCTTCTGTGAGTTTCATATTGTCATGTCCCTGTTTGTTTGTTTGTTTGTTTGTTTGTTTTTTCAGGTAGGCTAGGGTATAGAATGTTCAGAAATAATTCAGTTCTCAACACTGAACCTCTGAAGAGTAATTTAGTTTTGCTTGTTCCTCTGACAATTACTCAGAATTAATTTCTCACTCCTTGCTAATGTGTAATTCCTTAACCTTTGTAAGCCTTTCACATACAATTCAGGATCCTCTTATTTCAGTGGGCAAGAGTGAGTAAATCTCAGAACATTTGGATAGAAACACCAGTGGGATTCTTGCATCTTTGTAATCATTGGTTAAGTCAGAGCAGTTCTAATGACTTGTTTAAAAAAAAAAAAAAACCCACCAGGCCTCTCTTCCTGAGTCACTGGTTCTTTTTCCTGCTTTTCTTTTCTACTTTGCCAAGTGAGAAAGTTTTCCTCTAAAATGAAATAATTTCCTCTTGCATCTTGAAATTGTCAAGATACACACAGCATTTTCAGATTCGTGTTATCAGACAGAATCCATTATTTTGTTAGAAATGCCTTTACTGTCTCTCAGGACCTTTTGTTTAAGTAGATCCTTTTTCTCTAGGTCCTCCTATACAATAGAAGAATGACATTTTCAGGTATCACTTTCCATTGAGGTTCAGAGCAGCTGTTGTTTAGCAGTTTTTGAGTTATGACAACTAGTCACCCTCTGCAGAGGGTTCTTATTGCCTGTTGTGAAATCAGTTGTCTTAGGTGTGGTGGTTGATGATTGAGACTGTTGATCAGGAAAATTTCCACTATTTCATCAGTCCTAATAAGTAGATTATGCTTCTGACTCTAGTGAGCTGTATTCAGTTTCCACACTTAAAGCACAATGCATGTTTGTGCCAGACTCCCACCGGGGGCTTGCAGGATATTAGTGGATAATAATGATGATTTAATTAATAGAGATCGAGAGGGTAGAAAAAAAATGAGCTTTGATAGGGTAATAGCTAGATTTAAAAATCTTAGTTATTGAATTTTTTTTTCCTTTTTAGAAGAGAGAACGTGATTTTAAACGTGAATCAGAATGAAGATTAATTTATGCCCCTCCTTCTTTGCTCCCGCCCAGGGGGGAAAAAGTTATTTGGCACATACACAAAAAAAGAGGAGACATAGACCCATCTAGAAAATAGATGACCAAATTATAGACTTCTAAATGTTAGTTTGCTTTCTCAGTTTCAGTTGAAAACATGCTTTATTTTACCTTCTGCAGAACTTCTAGGTTCTCTTGCTTTTAACCTTAGAGGCTCTTATTATAGACTGAAAATGTGAATCGGCATAATTAAGCCATTGAAGGCCTCCAGGAGCATTTTACTCTTGAAATGACTTCGGTCCGCCTACAGCCATTTAAGATTTAAGAACAAAACATCTTTTTTTTTTCTTAATTCTTTTTTTTAATGTTAAGTTGTTACTGAGTGGAAGAATTAGAAATAACAGAACTACTGATTACTCAGCAGGTGCTGAAGGATAATTTACCATGTATGAATACACAAATGTACATGTTTTTTGTTTTTAATTTTCCCTTCAAAAATACTCCCATAGAACATTCTAATTAGGCTCTTGTCCTAGGTTGAAGCAGCCTTTTCCAGGCATGGTTTTCTAAAGTTCTGATATTGATAAATATTAGTAACTTTGGGGTTTGGAAACTAGGGAAGTAAAAAATATTCCAGTCTTACATATTGACTTTCTGAACAATCAGGATTCTTGGTAAGGGTTTTTTTTTTTTCCTTCTTTTTTGCCAAGGTGGAAAAATTGTTCTAATTAGTAAGCATCTGTTATGTGCTCCATAGAATAGGAATAGCATAAAATGATACTTTACAAAAGAAAATTTTCACTTATCTTTTTCATGGGATTTTTATTGCTTGGAATGAACTCAGTATTCGAATCCAATTTTCTTTCAAGGGTTCTGAAAAAAGTATAACTCTTCCACCTGCGTAATGATCATGAAACTGGTTTTGTTTTAGTTTATTAAGTTAGTAATGATGTATACTCAGTAGTCACAATTGAGGATATAATAGAAAACTGAGTGCCATGAAAACTAGGAAGTACTGTGGACTGGTTTCATCTGACATCTTGATGTAGTCACCTCCATCATACTGAAATTGATCAAGAAGAAGGGCTTCTTGAGATCCCTGGAGAAAATTATGGCAATTAAATTTGATCTGTCAAGTGAAGATGGTAGGTTGTTATACCTGTACCTTCATTTTGTTAATGAAGGGGTTTGGGGGAATTGTGGTGAATGAGGATGGGAAGTGAGGTAGCCTTTTCTAAGGACTCTTCCCGCCAAGCATTCCACTTCGTCTTAGTTAAATTCCTTTCCTTAGCAGTAAGGAGGCTCCCCTATCAGTTTTCCAGGTTAGCTGTCTCTTCCTCTACCATTTTAGCTTTAAAAAACAAAAGTGACAATTTGAACTTCCTGCCTCCCAGGCCCCACTGAAAGACTGATATTGGTCTGATAAGGTGATATTTATTTTGGTCTAGTGGCTTCAGAAACCCTTGTCCCTCCGCAGGCTTTCTATCAATCCCCACTGATCAGCACCTTTCCTGATAAGTGTCCCTCTCCCTGTTTATTCTGGGCTGCCTGCTCAGTAAGGAGCAACTGATAATAGCTAGTTGAGATAACATTCTCCAAGGGATTCTTTAAGATGGAAGAGAATTTTTCTTCAACCTGGTGGCCTGGAGTGTACTGATTTAGAAAGTAAAGTTTCTAGCATTCTGTATCGTTAATTTCTGGGCCTACCAGATTTTCAAGTATGACATTGACTTTTTTTTTTCCCTCAGATAAATGAAGCAGATAGTTTTTTAAAAGTTATTTTCCCAAATGTTTCTTTAGTTATACTTTTTGAAAGCTTATCCTTTTAAAGACTGTTAGAAAAATGGTGGTACCCAATCAGATGTCATCAAACTCTGTTTTTAAACTCTGGAAGATTAGACTGAAGCACATCTCCGTGCTATTCCTGGAGGTCATTCTGTTTTCTTTGCTTTGTGTGTTCCCATTTATAGCTTTCCACATCGTAGTTGCTTTGTAGATGGTGGTACGATATTGCCGATAGTGGTCAGGGATCCATAGCTCAAACGAAAGGTTTCCAAGTGCAGATTTTTAGTGTTTCGAGTCTGATGTAAGTTGGGGTAGACTCAGTCCCATGAATTTGGTTTTCTTTGCCTCGACCTGTACTGTGTCTATATTGCCTTGTGCAGGACTTTGGTATTTTATAACTCTTCCTCTTTGTTGTTCATCTTCTTAAATAGTCTATTTACTGAGTAATGCTATGCTTACTGGTGTAGAATACCTGATCTTAGGGGGGAAAAAAAGGCTTTCATCTGAGCTGCTTATGTTTTCTTTGGGACTGTAAGTAATTGAACTGGCTGGTGGAGCACATGTTGTGGTTTGGCAAAGGTTAATCTGTCACGCCTTATGATTCCAGGGGACGATATTTTTGGGAGCCGAGTTTTACTGGGCAAAACCTGGCTAAATTTTCATATTGTGAACAAGTGGTTTGAGGAGGGCATTGACTGGATGTTTTCCTTTAGTTTACTGATTCACCTACACATCGGCATTTATTTAATCAAATTCATATTTTAAAAAATTGATGTAAAATTAATGACTGCTGCTCAAAACAGTTTTAATCTGACTGATCTAGCTCATTGTGCATGCTAATTTCCTTTAGGTGAACTGTGAACCATCAGTATGACTATTTTATTAGCTTCTGACACCTCGTGGTATTTTTCCACCCCATTTTAATAGAAGCTATCTGTTCTGGCAAGTTTGATCTTTTGCTTGAATAGCACTTTTCACATTCTATGTTCTTTAACAATGGAAACAAAATAATCCAAACAATAACCCTTTATGATAGATGATAGATAAGTACTCTCTCTTTCCCCATTTTGAAGAGGAAAGAAATGAGATATAGTAAGTTTTTGATGGTTTGCCTAGAGCCATCTCCAGAGGGGATAGCCAAACCCCTGAATAAGTCCCCAGAACATTCATCCTTGGAGTATATGTCGGTGGTCCCTCTCCTTTGACTCAGTTTTCTCAGGCAAGCTGTGTGGCACACAAAAAATCTCAAAACAGGAAAGTTCTCTCCACTTTAGCAATGGTGTGCCATTTTCTCACATCCGTTTAAGTAATTGTGTATTCTTCTTTATTTCAGTTCAAACACACATCAGTCCAAAGCAACAGAGTGCTGAGAAAAATGAACTTTGCCCCAAAAGTGTCCCAAAGAGAGAGCACAGTGTGAAAGAAATTCTGAAACATGATTCCAGCCATTCAAAAGGAAAGAGCTTCTTCCATGCTAACATTTCACCCATCACTCCAGAAAAGGACATGGATGACCTGAGGAAAAACTGCAGCCCCGAAAGGCCCATCTGCCCGCGGGTTATCTACCCAATCCGAGTTCCCCATGCAGAAGACTTGTTGAAAGCTTCTCTGACCTACAGGATGGAGAGACCTACTTACATCACTCACTCCCCCATCCCATCATCCACCACTCCTAGCCCCTCAGCAGTAAGCAGCCCAGACCAAAGTCTGAAAAGCTCCAGCCCTCACGGGAGCCTGGGGGACACAGTTTCACCTTTGGCGCCCATTTCTCAAGAACATCGAGACTCTTACCCTTACTTGAATACACACTATGGCACAGAAGGATTGGGGTCTTACCCTGGCTATATACCACCGAGTCATCTCTCTCCAGCTTTCTTCCCCTCTTATAATGCTCATTATCCCAAGTTACTTTTACCTCCATATGGTATGAGCTGTAATAGCCTGAGTACTGTGAACAATATAAATGGCATCAATAACTTCAATCTCTTCCCAAGGTTATATCCAGTCTATGGTAACATCCTCAGTGGAGGAGGCAACTTGCCTCATACCATGTTCAACTCAGCTACTCTTCCAAATTCATTGCCCTCCGAAGGATCCCGGAGATTGCTACAACCAGAGCACCCCAGAGATGTTCTCGTACCTGCACCCCACAGTGCCTTTTCTATCACCAGTGCAGCCACCAGCATGAAAGACAAGCCATGTAGCCCAACGAGTGGGTCCCCGACTGCTGGGACAGCTGCCACGTCTGAACACATGATACAACCTAAAGCTACCTCAGCGATGTTGGCAGCCAACAGCAGTGAAGAAGCCATGAATCTCATTAAAAGTAAGAGAAATATGACTGGTTACAAAACACTTCCATATCCACTGAAGAAACAGAATGGAAAGATTAAGTACGAGTGTAATGTTTGTTCTAAGACTTTTGGGCAACTCTCAAACCTGAAGGTAGGTATTGAAAATCAAATTATTGACTTATGTTCGGGCGCATATACATACATGCATGCACACATGTAGTTTTGTATTTCCCTGTCTTTTTATAAAAGGTCATGTTTTTACAACTGTGTGGAAAAAGTTCTGTGACCAGAATTTTAGTCTGGGTCCCACCACTCACTATACAGCTGGGTAACCTTGGGTCAAGTCCATTTCACCCTTGTATATCTCAGTTTTTAAATTTTTAAAATGGGGATAATACTTGTATGAATATCTACCCCTAGGGTCGTTGTGAAGATTGTACTTCGTGAATTGTGGCACCATAAATATGAGTTACTATTGTTGTTGTTATCATTATGATTCGACAATAACAACTTTGCTTTTAGGAGTAGTGAAAAGAATCTCCTTCATTTGTTCTCTTGAGACATTTGTATCTTAGATGTTTCCAACCAAAAGGCTCAAAGACACTGTGGTCTTAAAAGTCACTAAACTGTGCATACCCTTTGACTCAGCCATACCACCTATACTCCAAAGACATCAAAGAAAGATGAAAAGGACTCACATTGTACAAAAATGTTTGTAGCAGTTCTTTTCGTAATAGCTCAAACTAGTGACTAAAGAGGGTGCACACATATTGGGAAATGTCTAAACAAAGTATGATACATGGATGTAATGGAGTATTATTCTGTGAGAGATGAGAAAATGAGCACTTTCTAACATCACTGGGAAGGCTTATATAAATTGACGCAAAATGAAGTGAACAGGGGGCAGCTAGATGGCGCAGTGGATAGAGCACCAGACCTGAATTCAGAAGGAACCTGGGTTCAAATCCAGCCTCAGACACATAACACTTACTAGCTGTGTGACCCTGGGCAAGTCACTTAACCCCATTGCCTAGCTTAAAAAAAAAATGAAGTGAACAGAACCAACAGGACATTTGATAAAATAGCACCATTATTACAAAGAAACAACACGATCCTAATGTTGGTTTGAAACTGAAGCAACATTTTGCTCTTTGTTCTTAGGTCCACCTCAGAGTGCACAGTGGAGAGCGACCGTTCAAATGTCAAACTTGCAATAAGGGCTTCACTCAACTTGCCCACCTGCAGAAACACTACCTGGTCCACACTGGAGAAAAGCCTCATGAATGTCAGGTGGGTAAACTCCTTCTGGGGAAAATGTTTAAACTGGTTGGAAATCTGCCCAACCAGTTCCTAGCATGCCCAGTAGAGTCTGTAGTTTAATGCCAAAATAGGTAGTTCCTCTTAAACCCTGATTCATTGCTGCAGTGTGCTATATCCTATCCCATAATCTGCAAGCGAACCGGCAGACATAGTGTCCAGTGGGTGGAAGAGGGACAGGAAAATGAGCCACCGCCTCCTGTGGATTATGCCCACACAGCCCTATTTGCTTAATAGCCTTCATGTTGCTTCTCACCTCCCAAGTTGTTGCAGGCTGTCTCTGAGCTTAACCCCTCTCGTTTGCACCTTTTAATCTTCTGATGTTCTTGTCTCCTCTCCCGTCTGTCCTTAAATGTAGGTTTGTCACAAGCGATTCAGCAGCACCAGCAATCTTAAGACTCACCTGCGACTTCACTCTGGAGAGAAACCATACCAGTGTAAACTGTGCCCAGCCAAGTTCACCCAGTTTGTACATCTGAAGCTCCACAAGCGTCTACACACCCGGGAGAGGCCACACAAGTGTGCTCAGTGCCACAAGAGCTACATCCACCTCTGTAGTCTCAAGGTGCACCTAAATGGCTATTGCCCCCTAGATCCAACTTCTGGCCTGTCCATGGAGGACCTGACCCGAATCAATGAAGAAATAGAGAAGTTTGACATCAGTGACAATGCAGACCGACTAGAAGACGCAGAGGATGGGACTGATATGACCTCTGTGGTGGAGAAAGAGATCCTGGCTTTGCTCAGAAGAGAGATGGAAGGAGCCAACCTGAAAATGTCTTTGCAAAGGAGCATGGGAAACGGACTAATCTCCTCAGGGTGTAACTTTTACGAGTCATCAGACCCATCCCTTATGAAGTTGCCTCACAGTCACCCACTACCTCTGTTACCTGTAAAGGTCAAACAAGAAACAGTTGAACCAATGGATCCTTAAGACTTTCAGGAAATGAAAGAAGTGATTTATATATGTATATATACATATATATATATAAATAATTTTAATTTATGACTTGGCGAGTCGGGGTGCCTGTAGCAAATTGTTTATACGTTGATTCCAATGCTGCAAAGCTTTCCTGACATCACAGATGAGTTCCCTCGCTTTTTTTCCAATTCAAAGAAGGAACTCTGAAGTTATTGTAATCTCAGGGTATAAAGAAAAAAAGACTCTTATATGTATACGTATTATATATACATACATACATATATATATATTTGACTGTGTTTTGAATATGTTTGTAAGTATGTTTGAGTAGCCTTTCCCATTACTAAGACAATCTCCTATCTATAATTATTTTTCAATGATAGTACTTTATAATTTATTATACAACTTATCATTCTAAAAGCAATAATTAGAAAATGTTTACAATGACTGGAAAAATCATTGTAATTTGAGTATAAATGTTTATTTTTTTTTTTGTCTTGTGGCCATTCTTTGTAGATAATTTCTGCACATCTGTCTAAATTAAGGTGAAGTTTAGATTGGAAAAACAAAAATACATTACTTCAGTCAATATGCCTACACTAAAGGTTTGAAAATGAGGTTTTGTATTGCCAAAGGTGGATATGTTGAATCATACTTGAGATCATTTAGTTTGAACAACATTGTGTAACTAGGGGGTAGATGTGCAGAATTACCCAATAATAATTTGGATAATGGCAATATGGAAAGGAATCCTATGCCTGCCTCTCTGTAGGTAGTCCAGACATTTTTTCCCTACTTAACAGCTCTACCCAGAAAGGTAACATGACAAGAAGGCTATGCCAACCTGACTTTTATACCAATGAAAGGGGTGGTGGTTGTTGGTTGGTTGGTTGAGTTTGTATTTTGGTTTTTTTTTTGCTTTTTTTTTTCTAAAAGCAATACAGAAGCCCAAAGTCACCCCAAAGATCCATCATAAACTGCCATATAATTTTGCCATCCCAGTGTAGCAACCGAAAATGTGAAGATGATCAAATGCCATGTTTAAAGCCACTGTTAAAAGCACAAGTGGTTTTTTTTGTGTATGTTTGTTTTTTCGGGTTATAGTTTGGGATGTTTTGTGTGTATGATGTATGTTTTAATTTCTAGATGTCAGAATTGCACAAAAATGGTGCTTTCCCAGAAAGGATTTTTGGGGTAGAAAGGCTCAGTCCACGTTTTGAAAAACTAAGCAAACAAACAAAAATCAAAACGGGTATTTTCTCATTATCTCTGGGTGGAAGTGGGTGATGAACATTCCTGTTCCAGCACATCAATTTTGTTTTGTTTTCTGTAAGACTCAGATTTTCCTCAGTATTTGCATTTGTACATTTTGTGGTTAATTTAATTGAAGATGAAAAGGGCATTGCAAAGTTATTCAACAACAATTACCTCATTGAGTGTGTCCAGTAGTGCAGGAAATGCTGTTTTATCTAATGCTTTGCTACTTTAGAGAAGAAACCGAGTGTGCACAGAAAACTTAGAATGTGGTGTTTTGTTTTGTTTTGTTTTTAAGTTTCCCTCTGTCTCCTTAAAATTTAAAAATCATCTTACTGAAGGACTGGGGCCAGAAAGGGAAGTGGAGGGTGGGGTTGGGGGTGGAAAGGTAGGGAGAGAACCATGAGTATAGGGTCAATTAAGTACATGTTGTACTCCTTTAATGTGCAAGGCACTGTGGTGAATATATAGATAATGGAGAAAAGTACATGTCTTCAAGGAATTTAAAATCTAGTCAGGGAGACAACATAGTACACATAAAAACATAACTACCAATGGGGCCCTGAAATTCAGGAAAGGGAGAGGACACCACCACACCTCCTACTCTGTAGCAGTGCCACTGACTACACCTGAGTGGTGGGCCAGATGAAGACAATCACAAAGGGGCTATTGCGCATGAGTGTTATTTTATTTTCTCAATTTGCTAAGCCCAAAGATCTCATGTTGGCATTCAAGGTGAAGCAAAGAATGGTGTATATTTATACATTATACCACTATACTATATATGTATATATATTTATGTCACATTGTGAGCCAAACCATGTAATAGAACCTAATTTTCATAAAAGATGAAAATCAAGCCTTTTCAGAGGACTTTGCATCGCACCTGATGACCTCAAACCCCGGATGATGATGTGTTGCGCATTTGAAAGAATGTCAATGTGCATATGTGTATGCTCCCTTTCTGGAGGTTATAAGGTCCAACAATGAAGACCCCAAAACCTTGACAGAAAAAGGAAATAAAAATCCTACCCTACATATGGTAACACCCCAAAGACCAGTGGATATGAATATAATAAATCTATGAGTGTCAGGGACAGCCGAATAGAGCTTTATTTCGTTTTGCCACATCTGAGTTATGTGGTCACACCCAGTGTCAGAAGCAAATCCCATTATTACACCCATTACCACTCAGTGTACATTGTCTTTATGTTCTTATTACTTAATAGGTCTCTGATCAGACCATTTTATAAGTTGTAGGATTTTATGATGGAAATAAAAATGGCTAGTAGGTTGGCAACTAGAAAACAAAACCCAACTTAAGATAACCCAGGGAAGTATGTAAATAAACATTTGCTGGACAAGTTTATATATATATATATATATGTGTGTGTGTGTGTGTGTGTGTATGTATATATATACATGTATACACACATATACATATAAAATCTCTGCCTCTAGGAACAACAAGGCTGACAAATTTAGGTGTAGCAATGTGGTTAAAAAACAGTACTTAAGTGTAGATAAACCAAAGTATCACTACTCTGGACACTGGACACACTTTTCTTCTCCTAAACCCCTTTTCCCTCCCCCTCTTTTTTGGCCTTTAGTGCTTTTGTGTTGAAGTTTTTCGAAGATTTATATACTGCAGCTTTAAAAATTTCGAATTCTCTTTACTGTCCACGGTTCTCCCAACCCTCCCTTGTTTAGGCCTCTTACATGTGAATGTAGCAAACAATCAGAAGTGGTTTTGCTTTTCTCAAAGGGAAAAACTGACCCAAGTTAATCGGCTTTTTACTTTGCTAGAACAACAAACTATCTTATGTTTACGAACCAGTTTACATTGTTATTTATGTACAATTGTCAAAATGTAAATTAAATATAAATGTTCATGCTTTACTGATTGCTGCCATGTCTTCAGCTGTCTCAGTAGTGGCCTTGTGTGTACATAGAGAGGGCTGCCCCTAGGGTGACTTTAAAAGTTTTATTGATTTTGTTTTTTTTTCATGTCACTTCCCAATCCTCTACCAACAACATTATACAACTCTACCTTATCACAATGAAGTAAAGTAAGCAAAACAAAAACATTTGCCATATCTGACCACATATACATGGGGGGGGTATACCTTACCACTTCTTCACCTCTGCCCAGAAGAGAATGACCAGAGTCAAGATTGGTCTCTGAATTGACCAGCTATTAGAACATGACCTTCAATATTGTTTTCCTTTACATTATTGTATCCTCGTGGTGTAAATTGTCCTTTCGTACATGAAAGTCTTCCCAAGTTTCTCTGAATTCTTTAGAGGCTGCTTCTTATGTAATCTATTACATTCATAGACCACTATGTTTAATCCAATGGGCATCCACTTTGTTTTCATTTTTTTTTGTAGCCACAAAAAAGTACTACTGTAACTACATTTTAAAATACATGGAACCTTTGTCTTTGACCTCCTTGGGTTATGCAGTAGGCAGTCTTTGGAAATAGAAAAAGTCTCCTCCGTAAACCTGGCCTCTCAGCCTCTTGTATAACCTCTCGATATAAGCCCTGACCCTGGGTGCCAGGGCTTTTCCCTCCTGTCAAAACCTGATTCCAGGAAAAGATCTTTGGTTGTAAGGCCATTTACACTAGATGATTTCTAAGGTCCCTTCTAATTCTCAAAGTCTTTGATGTAAGTGAACATGCCAGTCAACTTTTATTCTCCCCATTTTAGGTCATTACTAATTTTGGAATGAGAGACATGTTCTGTTAAAGGAATTTCAAATATCAACAAGTAGGTGGGAGGAAAGCCATAGTGGAGGGAGGATCTTAGTGGGTGTGAACATAGAGGGTAGCCTTTGACCTTTAGAAATGACACCACACAGGCAAGTCCAAACTCTACCTAGGATTAGGTCAACTGTGTGTATGTGAGATCAAACACATGTGTCCACAGACAACATGTTCCATTGGAGCTATGGGAATGTGGGCATCTGAGAAGGCTGCCTCGCTTCAGGAATTAAAGTGAATTATGCTCTTAGGATTATGGACTTAAAAAAAAACCCTCTCAAACCACGTATAAATATCTTGTCTTTCTTTGTCTTCTCTTCTCCCTCTTTGCTATTTCACTTAATGATCTCGTCAGCTCCCGTGATTTCAGTCCTCTCTATGCTGGTGAGTCTCATTTATCCAGCCCTAACCCCACACCCCCAACCTCCAGACTTGCTTCTCCAACTGCCTATTGGATGTTTCAAACTAGATGTCCCAAAGACATCTCTGTGTGCGCTCAATGTGTCCAAAACTGAAGTCTTCCCCCGCTCCAAACGCTCCTCCCTTCTGAACTTCCTTATTGCCGTCAAGGGCACCATCATTTTCTGTCATCCAGGCTCACAACCCTCCTCATTCTCACCCTCCCATATCCAATTGTTTGCCAAGTCTTGTCGATTTTACCTTCTCAACATCCCTCATATTCTTCCTCTGACCGTGCCACTGTCCTAGTTCAGCCCTCATCACCTCAGGCCTGGAATAGCCTGCTGGCTGGCCTGACTTCAAGCCTCTTTTTTTTTTTCACTCAAGCCCATTCTCCTCTCAGCTACCAAATTAATCTTCTGAAAGTGCAGATATGACCATGTCTCACACAACCCCACTCCATAAACTTCAGTGGCTCCCTATCACTTCCAGAATCAAATATAAAATCTTCAAGTTGGCATTCAGAACCCTTCACTATCTGGCCCCCTCCTACCTTTCCAGTCTTCTTACATTATATTTTACTTCCCTTCCTTTCACACCACCGTCCTCCATGTTGGGTGATCCAGTGATGTCAGCCTCCTTGCTGCTCCTCACATAAGACATTCCATCTCCTGATTCTAAGCATTTTTACTGGCAGTTACCCATGCATGGTGTACTCTGCCTCCTCATCTCATCCTCTGCCTTCCTTTGAGTGCCAGCTAAAATCCCATCTTCTGCAAGAATCTTTTCTTTTTTTCTTTGCTTTTTGGTGAGGCAATCGGGGTTAAGTGACTTGCCCAGGGTCACACAGCTAGTAAGTGTTAAGTGTCTGAGGCTGGATTTGAACTCAGATCCTCCTGACTCCAAGGCTAGAGTTCTATGCTCTGAGTCACTTAGCTGCCCCAAGAAGTTTTACTCGATTCCACCTCAATTCTAGTGCCTTCCATCTATTGGTTATCTCCAATTTATCCTGTCTTTGAGAGCTGAGACTCTCTCTTTTGCCTTTCTTTGTATCCTCAGCATTTAGTGCAGTGCCTGACACATAGTAGGCACTTAATAAATGCTTGTTGACTGACTTTCTGACTTTAAGGGTCTTTTTTTGGGGGAAAAGACCACTTATTCCTCTATTATTCCTTTGGAAACCATGTAATCTATTATAATTTTACTTCCAAAGAAAAATCTAATGCATGCTTGCTATTTTGTTCCTTTCCTTGTCCAAAAGGGGCATTGTGTTATCTTTTCCTACCTTGGGATTCTATATAGATAACCTATATTTAGGTCTGAGAGGGACCTTCAAAGTCATGGAGTCCAACACCCTCACTTGGCAGATAAATAGACCCAGAGAAGGAAACTAACTTACTCAAGGGTTCAGTTGTTGTTTAGTCAGTTTTTTCAGTCAAGCCCAACTCTTTGTGACCCCATCTGGGGTTTTCTTGGCAAAGATACTGGAGTGGTCCAGCTCATTTTACAAATGAGGAAAGTGAGGCAAACAGGGTTAAGTGACTTGCCCAGGGTCACACAGCTAGTAAGTGTCTGAGGTCAGATTTGAACTAAGGAAGATGAGTTTTCCCGGCTCCAGGCCCGGTGCTCTATCCACTATGCCACTTAAAAATAAATAGCAGAGCCAAAATTTGAACCCAGGTTCTTTGCCTCTGAATACAGGATTCTTTCTATTTTACTCTTCTGGCTTTCAAGTTAACTTGATACATGAAAGTGAAGGAAATAATGATATTTTTCATATTGTGACCCTTCACTAACCAGTGTTTTAAAAGTGTTTCACTGTCTTCTTTAAATTTACTTAAACATCTGTCCCAAGAATTTGAAATCCTGCCAATATGTAACTGTGGAGTTAAGAAAACCAGAGCTCTGTTGTCATAAATGTGCCAAATGGTGCATGTTCTGTGCCTCTATTCTGTAGAACCATTGTGGCAATCACTTTTGAAATTCCCCATCAAACAAAAAAAAAGATCAACAACAACAACAACAACAAAAAAATTCCCCCAAACCCTTTGGATAACAGTTGCCACCATAAATCATACCTCATTTCTTGGCAAAGCATGGGCCTGCCATAAAGAGTTATATCCCGAGGATACTTTGTGGATCTTAGACAATGTTTAATAAAACACAGGAAAAGACAATGAACATGCTACGTTCCAGTCTTATTGAGCTAAAGTTAGCAGCTGTTGGTTGGGTTTTTTGGTTTGGTTGGCTTGAAGTCATTAAAAGTAGCCCTTTGTCATATTCAAGATGGAGGATATGCCATCGTGTTGCTTTCATTTCTAAGCCTTTCTCTTAGCAAAGTAAAATCTTACTGCTGAAATCCTATCCTCAGTCTCCCAGAGTAGGGAATAAACACCTTCCAGTGGGGAGGTAACTCTATCTGGGCCCATTCCTAGTTCTCTTTCCTAAAATGAAATCAATTTAAGACCTAATAGTCTGTATGAATAGCTGAGGCCATCATCACCCCCACCACCAAATGTTTATTTTGTCTTCTGATGCCATCTTTAAAAGGACATAATAAAGTCCAGCAAAAAGTAATGAAAATAATTAGAGGCACATTGTCAATGGTTTCCTTGGGGGAAAAAAAATCAGGTCTCTGGGAAAGTTGGTTCTAGAAAGAAGAGAACCGAGACAAGCATATGAGATTATGAATGGTAAGAGAGACCACAAAGGAGATGTTTCCATTGAGCTGGAAATCCATTGGAGGATCCTCATATTTTGGGAACCATTGAGTTCAGCACTTTTGTCCCTATTACGACCATCTCATGTTCTTGCTAAATTCTGCTCAGAAGCACTTGGGTTTTTGCAGGTGATGACTACAGCTCCTTTCAAGATCCACTCTGCTTTGCCGTCTATTGATTGCACCCTGAATGAGCCTTTCTTTCTATACCTTTACAAGTCCTAAGGTCCCAGAGTCTATTTTTCAGAAGCTCTGCTGTCACCTACTTCCCGGGTGAGTGTAAAGAGAGGGTAAGTCATTAATATTACCGGTAGTTTTACAACTGGAAAAGAATGGAAGATTATCAAGTCCATCTCTAGTCCTTGTCATATGATCATGAATTAAGAATTGCAAGGACCTCTGAGGGTATGTAATCCAACCTCTTCATTTTACAGATGTAATATAGGACAAAGCCAATCACATTCCCAGGATGATTCAAACCAAAGTGTTATTTTGTCAGACATGTTTGTTTTGTTTTTTTAACCTGGCAAAATCAAGGAATTGCATTGTTAACTTTCTCAGAATACCATAAATAATCAAATATACCTTTACCTTTCCTTGCACTTTCAGATTTAGGAGGCTTAATTTTGTCTGGGATACTTAATAGAGTTGCCAAATCCTAGGCTCTCCAGCAGAGCACAAGCTATGACTGGTTCTGCAAGAAAGGCTTCAAGTATGATCCTATGACCAAGTTGTCTTTTGTCCTGAGAATCAGCCTGGTTAAGTGTAGAGATGTTCATAGCCCAATAGGCTAGTGCCAGTTCTTTGACCATGGCAACCCATGGCTAGGTCACAGTACACATCATTGGAGGCCATACCCACATCACTGAGATCACAGATCTGTTGACACATTGGCATGAATGACTAATTTATGCCTGTGTTTTTTTAGTGCCAATGAGAAAAATAGAGGGTGGCAAAGAGGTACCAAGCTGCAGAGGTTGGTAGCATAAAGTTGGTAAGTATAGGTAATAAGAGAG